TCATCTCATCTCATCTCATCTCTATATCTAACCGCAATCAATTTCGTTGGAATCTTTAAGTCATTTCTTCATAGACTTTATATCCTTTATATCTTTTTTCTGGTCTGCATTTTAGTTCTGGTCTGCGCGTAGTCCGTATGTGATCTGCAGTGTCATTGACCCAGTAAGTTGGTAAAGAGTCCAAAATCCCGAGGGGAGGACCCACGAAGGTAGAGGGAGCAGGGGGAAAGGGGGGGGGGGGAAGAATCATATAATCGTCCACACACCGACTGTGCAAAATGGAGGAACATAGGAAATCATTCAAAAACCCATCCACATAACTTAATAAATAAAAATATAATGAAAAAAAAATTCTGGCTCGGATCCTGGCTTGAATCTTAGGTCGAATTCTGGTTCAAATCCTGCCAGTGGCTTGAACATTGCTTGACTGCGAGAATAATAGGAAAGAGCCCGCGTGGTACTTAGACGCGCCTTTTAAGTACTTAAAAGTACTGCTACGTAACAGTATTCAAGCATCTACTATCCCGAATTCGCTTGACTGGTCACGAAACAATGGTTTCAAGTCGAGGTCGAACTTGACGAATAARAGAATCAAGTTCAGTCTCGACTTCAAACCATTGTTTCGTGGTCAGTCAAGCGAATTCGGAATAGGTCTATTGATTGATCTGGATATGCGGATTTATATAGTTGGATTACCGGATCTAACAACAGTATAATGTTTCGATATGGGTGTCATTATGCTATCAGCATAATGTTCTGGGTTTTTTTGGTGGTCTGAAAATCCGCGATTTCAAGAGGAAAAAGAGACGCCTCAGTTTTCCAAATTTTTTTGATTTTCATTGGCTTTCGATTTTTTCGAGAGTATTCCCCAAAAAATGAACGAAGAAAATGAACAACTCCTGCAAAAACAAGGTTTCAGACATACGATGAATATTATGATCATTGGCACTTTATTTGTCATTTTAATGATTATAGGATTTCCATGATGCATACGATATCAGTATTGACATAGGGCCTGGTGTGCTCTGAATTAATATACTGCTATACTGTATTTTTTGCGGCCAGACCGAAAAAGTGAACGCGGCCAGAAGTCTGAAAAAGTGAATGCGGCCAGAAGTCTGAAAAAGTGAACGCGGCCAGAAGTCTGAAAAAGTGAACGCGGCCAGAAGTCTGAAAAAGTGAATGCGGCCAAACGGTTGCCAGAAAAAAGTGGAGTACCATGACGCTAAAAAGGCTCCGTAGGATTTGGGTTTAAAGCTCAGCCATCGATTCAAATTGTAAAATCACTTTGAAAAGATATATTTTTCGTAATCTTTATCATCTGATATGAGTTTTTTTTTTTTGAAAGTGTTGCGTAGAGAGTGTTTCAAGTGCGATAACATACTTCTCAAGGCCTGTTTCCAGTTTATAAATATTGAACCTTTTAAATAATAGAGATGGGTTTTGTCTTTATACTGATGTATATAACATCCAATAAGCATCTGGTACATCTATCTATGATTAACTAATCTATCCTTCAGGTTTTCGCTTTTTTAATAAAACAAATTAAATAAACACCGCACAAGATAGAAAAATATCTTACCTTTCTCAAGAGAAGATGAAAAACAATTACGCACGACTTTGTGTTAAGAAATTAGGATCTCCTTGCTTAACCAAGTGCAATCAACATTTGTCGCGCATCTCAGTCTACTTGCTATATTTAAACTTATAGTTACTTGATACCTGCGCTTGCGCTTGTGCCGTGAACCGACAGAATTGCACCTGTTATAGGCGTGGGCACGCATAGTGGCTTTCTTCGATGGAAATGTAGATAACAGTCTAAGAAGGAGTAATTAGAAGAGGACATATTTGACTGTCGGTGTGTCGGTTTCTGACATGATTGAAAATATTAAATTGAGTTCTTATAAAGGTGTGGAACTGAAATAGTTCAGTTTCTAATACTCTTTCTAATGTCAATGATCGATTTCATATAGTGATGAGGAGAGTAGATGAGGCTGTTCGGTTGATGAATGGAGTTAACTGAAGTTCTTTTAGTGGCGTAAAATAGTTCGTTCACATGCAGCAATTAGCAAGTAGTTCATGCTGACACTAGTGCATTTAAGCTTTTCTAATAATTTAATAGAGTTTGAGCAAAGTTAATATCTAATGACTATGGTTTGAGTGAGAAAATGAATATACTTTTATGAATATAAATATAAGTTAAATATAGATAAGAGACCAAGATACTGTATTAACAAACACAATATGAAAGAATTAGCCTTAAGTTTCAAGCATGGACACTAAATTTTGGCATTTTGTAAAGTCCAATTTATCAGGCATGTTTGGAGACGTTTTTCGACTCGAAATTAAAAAAAAAAAAAAACGTTTTAATGCTGAATTTAGTGGAGGCTATATGCTGAGCTGTTATAGGATTGCACCGATGTTATAAAAAAGGTGAGGTAATTGGAGAGCTATATGATGTTTACAAACACGGGGACGCGTATGTCCCTATGGCACAGTCCCATGTCAGAGAAGTACAAACATCTAACCATCAACTATAGTCGAATTAATTGTCTATCAAAACGAAGTGGCAAAGCCATGGTGGCTTACGATCTTCTGTTAATGGCTTGTCTGTCAGATCGAGGTGTGGTCTGGATGGAAGAGCAAACATTAGAGCTTACATTTTAAAAATATAGGAACCCTCAATCAATTTTTTAATGTCTCCTCTAGCAAATTTTTTTTCCGAAAACTTAAAAATTTGCGATGATCGCGACTCTGCCGGTGTTAAAAACCGACAAAGGTTTTTTTTTCAGTTTTTTTGGAAAACATGCCAACGGGGGGCACGTTTATATAATTAATAAAGGCCTTCATTTGCATCGAGACGATTCGTGGTTCACTGTAAACAGTTTCACACCGTTCTGTATATCTAAAACCAATCTACTCTTGGTGATACAAGATTACCACAAAGTTCAATTTAGCGCAAGCTGTAACATAAAGCACAACACTAGATTTGGAGAAAAAAGTCTAGGTCACTTTACGACAAAAACCCACCGTTGTTATAGTAACCAATTTAACTTTGAGTAATAAAGATTTGGTTAAAATTAGGCAAAACAATAAGGAAAATATAAAAATATATACCTTAAGACTATTTCTTGCTGATCTTGAATGTTAGTGTTATGAGAGAGAAAATGAATGTTTTTACAGACTAAGCTAGACATCAGTTTTTTAATTACTATTTCTTATCGTATGAAAACAAGATAAAGAACGATCAATTAGTTATTGAAAATATCGATATAAGATTTCAGTAAGGCTGCCATCACGCACAAGTTTAGATGATGGTATGCTTTGAATTTACAAGTAAACTACTTAGCTCCTCCCATTAGCATGTACACCTATGGTTACACCCTAAACACTCTTTACCCCTTTGCTTAGTTATTTTACCACTATTCTTTTAAATCTTATGATATAATTATTCCTCGTAGACCTTTCTATACATTTACCATATATTCACATATTATCTTTGGTTTAAGTTATGTTTAGTTCTATGATTTTCACTCGTATTATTCTTAATAAGATATCACACTCAGGAATTTACTATTTCCATTAGCCAATCAAGGCACAGCGATAATATCATATTGATTGTAGAATGACACCTGTCATGAAGTTATTATAAATAGAGCTCATGTAATTAGTTTTAGTCAGAAGAGTGAAGAGAAAGTAGAATAAAGATCCCGAGTAGCTCTACCGAGAGCGGTCCATCCCATAACATTAGTATGTTAGATACTTGTAGGCCTTTAACGTGGTAGTCCTTCTTCTACGCTTAACCAACGGACGGGAAGTACTTCTGTAGAAAAGATATACCGTTATCTCAGTATATTCTGATAAAATTTAAATTAAACAGCAATAAAAGGGACCGCGGATCATATTTTGGACGGGGGGAGGGGGGAGCTAATCTAAAGGAAAGGAACGGAAATAAATATTTAAAGCGCTCTGCTATTCATGGCAGAAATACTAGAGGATCTGGAAGCCTAGACATTCCTCGCTGCTGGCTTTCAACGGGGCAAAGAGCTTTTTTATTCGGGGTTTAGTTAGCGAATGGAATAAACTAGGAAAGGACCTTCAAAGTAGCAAGGATATAAATACCTTTAAACGTGGCCTTTTTAAGAAAAATTTTAATTGGGAATAAGTTTTAATTTTATTATAAATTATTTATTATATTATAATTATAGATTTAATTTTATAGTTTGCTGTAAACATAATTTTATACCATATCATATTGTATGCTTATATTGTGGCTGAAAAGCCCTGTCGACGGAGTCTCAATAAAGTATGTATGTATGGAATGCCCCCACACCCTGAAAACTTTGGAATTGAAATGCAATTATCAGTGTCGTGCTTTTGAGGGGCAATTGTCTCTTTCACAGTTCCCTGCGCCATCTTGAAAGTTAGGAAAGCCTTTGCATCAAGGTAAGACGAACGGTAAGCTTGCAATGATAAAGACCTTTTTTTAACATCTATAGGACAATTATTCCCATGTCTCTATTATTGCAAACTCACTGTTCGTCTCGCTTCGATTCAAAGGCACGGCTACCTTTTAAGATGGCGCAGGGAACTGTGAAGGGGACTATTACAATATGTTTAAGTCATATCAAAGGTTTGGGCAAATCATATAACGCAAAATTATTTTTGGACATAAACGCGGCGAAGTGCGGTTCCTGAATAAGTATTGGATATCTATGTAAATACCTTTCTCACAAAGCGTGGGTGGTTTTAATTTGAATTGGTCGTAGCTGACACTAGAGAAAAACGTTTGCGCATGCGTGCATTTCTGCACGTTTTCTAAAAATTTTGAAGAGTTTGAGTGAGAAAATAAATGTTTATTTTCTAAAAGTACACAGAAAAGTTCGAGAGTATTGATGGGTTGCAAGCATTCCCAAGAGAGTTAAAAGACAAAAACATGGCGGCCATTGTGGTACCGTTAACAATGCATGCTAACGAGAAATCTTTTGTTAAATAGTACCAACATGGCTGCGATGACGTAACGTCAAACGAAGAATACTTTTGACAGATTAAGATACTGTCTTAACAAACACAATATGAAAGAATTAGCCTTAAGTTATGGCATTTTGTGAAGTCCAATTTATCAGGCATGATTGAAAGTCAAATTTACTTATGTTTTGACTAATTTGCATACGGATTCAGAGCATGCTCAGACGTTTTTCACTCATGTCCGTTTAGCTAGACTTCCTGATCATTATATATACATAACGTTGTTTCATAAATAACAAATATCTAACTGAAATGCAAAATTTAAGAACTCCCAAAATATCACGATATCAATATTTCTATGCCCTGATCTGATTCACGACGCGTCGAATACTTAAAACTTTAAAGTATCGGATATTAATAAATTCTATATTTTTTAATAATTATAATAACAAATTTAGATAATAATAATAGTAATAATATGATAATAATTCATATAGCGCTCAACCTATTAAAATATTCTAAAGCGCTCTACGAAATTTTTTTTTTTTTTTACTTTTAAAGTTCATTCTGGAAAACATTTTTTGGGTAATATTATTTCTCAGAGATATGAATGAACATATGGATACAGGTATTGTTTATTGTTGTATATACATTAATAGCAAATAAGGCTCTATGTCATTATATCTTATGCATCATGGAATTCTATATTCAACAAAATGACACCTAAAATGCCGAACCTTGTCTTTGCAAGATCAATATATCTTATGCATCATGGAGTTCTATATTCAACAAAATGACACCTAAAATGCCGAACCTTGTCTTTGCAAGATCAATATATCGTATGCATCAAGGAATTCTATATTCAACAAAATGACACTCAAAGTGCCAATGATCACAATATTTATCGTAAGTCTGAAAACTTGTTTTTGCAGGTGTTGTTCATTTTGAACCGGTTCCAAAGTATTTTGGGATTTTCCATTTTAGAAAATTAGCAGCGATTTGTTATCATTATCGCAGGTTTATGTTAACCATGGCAATCGAATTGATTTTTTTGGTTGATTTTTCAGTACAAATCTTTTTGCACTTCATTTTGAAACAAAAACTTTAGGTATTATCTCCATCATGTCATTTGAAATTTTATTTGAGTAGTTTTTATTGAAAACAAATGGAGCATTCTGGTGGAAGGTATGCTTCTTGTCATCCGTTCAGTCCACGGCAATGCTCAAAAATTTTGAGCATTCTGGTGGAAGGTATGCTTCTTGTCATCCGTTCAGTCCACGGCAATGCTMAAAAATTTTGAGCACTCTGATGGAAGGTCGTACTTCTTGTCATTCTGTCCATGGCAATGCTCAAAAATTTTGAGCACTCTGGTGGAAAAGAATGACCAAGCATTTTAAATAAAAGGTTTAGAAAGTAAACTTTTATATGGATAAACTATTATTGATGTGACAAATAATAGACCCTTCCACGTCTTTTTCAATTTTTCCACGACTTTTTCAACTTTTACATGGACTGGTTAAGATTCCACCGGAAAATGCTGGAAAAACAACCTCAATTATCGATTTACTGGTTTTACTAGCTTAAAATATTAAAACATGCACTACAATGATATGAAAAGATGAACATTTATTGAGTAAAACACAAAAAGCAGGAGTAAATTGAAAAGTGCAAATAAAACACTAAAATGCTAAGGTAAATCTCCAGGTTAAATAGTAAGCTAAGCGATAGTAAGCTAAATTAAACTAAAAAACGTTTCTCACAAGAACCGGTAGATTTCCGAAGTGCAGCACTACTGCCCAACTAAATTCTTTTATTCAAAAAAGGATATCTTTAAAACAATTCCGTCTTATTTAACTATATTTGCGAGAAAAACACACCTTTGTTTACATTATTATGCATGCATGGTGAACGAAGATCTTCCTTTTCAAATGATTATATTTCACTGGTATTCCATTCAATTTGCTTGATAAGGCCTTCTTTTGCTTCTGGTAAATGTCACGAATTCAATTTTACGATTAAAGTAGCTTTCAAGTATTGAAAAACGCTGCATTTTGCAGCTGATTTTCAACGATTTAGTCACCACTTACTTTGCAGATGATACAGAGGTCGATCACGAATTCAAGGAAAATCAGTTTTACTAGATTTTGTCTGTTAGCCAATCAAAAGCAGCGGCAGGCTCACGAATCAAACAACTGATAAAAACTGGTTTTTGAGTTGAAGATATTCAAACTAAAAACTGTGCAAYGAAGCTCCACATTTACTACGAGTGATTACTGGAAAGTTTTGGTTCAAAAATCATCATTATCGATAGAAGGAAGTATGAAGGAGTTCAAGTGGCAAAGTCATAACAAAAAAACTGGTTTTGTGCTACATTTGGGGATGTAAACAAAGCGAAAATCATTGAACTTAAAACAAGAAACTTCCAGATGACAACTCAACTTTTATCGGAGAGAGTTTCGGAGGAATTTTATTTCAGGGACATTTCTTTTTTCTATTTTCATTGCGGTAAAAATATACGGTCCATGTAAAAACAAGACTCTTCATATAGATAACCAAATATCATTATGTAAAAAAGCAGTAAAAGTAAGATTATATTTTGCTTACCATTCTTTTTGAACCAGTTTCAAGTCTGTTTTGCAATGTTGATTTGTCCTTAAAAAGTTCGGAAATCTTCAAAATTTGGATTTTAATGAAAGACATCCAAGGTAAATTTCACTAAACCTAATATTTTATTGGATTATCTATAATTATCTTTCGTTTTTCAAGTAAAAATAACCAGGAATTCAAAGCGTAATTTTCGTAAACATCCAAATACACAAGTAATTTGTTTGCCTTGAGCATGCTCAAAAATTTTGAGCATTCCCATGGACATACATTGTATTTCTGTCTTAATTTTATGATGCCTTGAGTATGCTCAAAAATTTTGAGCACTCCCATGGACATACATTGTATTTCNGTATTTCTGTCTTAATTTTATGATGCCTTGAGTATGCTCAAAAATTTTGAGCACTCCCATGGACATACATTGTATTTCTGTCTTAATTTTATGGTGCCTTGAGTATGCTCAAACATTTTGAGCCATGTGGTGGTAAAATTTATCATATAATGCCAAATAGCTTGTATAGCAGGATTTATACAGCTTGTTTAGTAATAAAAAAGCA